CTCGGGATTGTGAGGCGGTAATGGACGCCCTGTGGACAGTCGTCTCACAACGTCGTGCCTGATGACAAAGGAGACTCCTATTTCCCCTTGTTATGCTCCTGAACGTTCGCTTCGGAAAATGTATCCAACACCCATATCCTACACTTAGCCCTGCTCAGAGAAGGGGGCCTCACTGGCAGCCGAAAGGCCAGTTTGTGGGCGACTAGGGTCATCATCCTTTCTGGACGCTTTGCCTAAGTGAATCGTGTCACTCTGGCCGTCTGTGGGAAGGCATAGGAATGTGGAGGGGAGTTGTTTTTTGTAGTTTGTCGAACGCAGGTTTCGCACCCACAAGCCACAGTCGGCTTGTGGATGGGGTGTTTTAACATGGATTTTTAGGGCACTTTTTCTAGCCTCCTCCCCCGCGAGGGAGTAAGTAGAGTTTTGCGTAAATAGGGCTGCTTAGTCATTGAAGGTGGTTGAGGTATCCCACTAGGGATCAACATCCTTGCCTGGTGGAAGGATGATCCGAGTTAGGCCGCGTCGCCTATGGGATTACATATCGTGCTGTACGTGGGAGTGGGGAGGGAGTTTGGGAATTATTTAGGGATACTCTCATCCGGTCTAGCACTACGGTCAAAAACGGTTTTCGGGGTTTGGTCGCTGTACTAATCGTGGCTCTATGAAGTCGAAAATGTGAGCTGGGTGTCGAGACCGAGCAAAGCAGAGGCAGACAGTAGGACCATTGACGTGTTCAGCATATTGGACCTTCTTGCCATTTGCTTCTAAAACGGACCATACGGTAGATGAGGTGGACTAGATCGACGTCCGGCTGGCTTTATCGGAAATACTCACCCATAACTAATGCCGACATTGGGGATGTAGTTGCAGGCCCAATTGTAGGTCCAGGCCGCGCCAATTGGGATCCAGACCGTCCCCCACCCCTAATTTGTTTTGTGATATAAAAGCCTGACCAGTGTACGTTACGGACCGGGGTGCGAAAAAACGCCTCGGTGCAGGGCCGACCGTGCCAGCCATTTGCATCCTCTTCCACCTCCAGTCTTCTTGACTCTGTCTTGACATCGGATCCGGTTGGGGGAGGAGGAGAGAGTGCGGTAGGTGCGACGCCAGTCCACTATTATTATAAACCAACTCCCGCGCCGGTCACCGTTCCTGCTCTCACCCCGCTGTAGAGCACACGATGGACAGCGTCTAAAACAACGGTCGAACTGTGGTTGCTTGCCACTATGCTCGGGCCAGGACCAGTTGGCTTTACCTACGCTGCATTGTCATGCGTGTTAGTTGCCCGCAACGTATTTGAGGCATGGTGTAATCGTCAATGTAAGGTTGTGCAGTGTTCATTAAAACGTGTCGGCGAGCCTGGTTTGACCGTCCAACTACAGCCTGGGTTCCCGGCCACGCCACCCCTAAGACGCGGCTCCCGCATGCAGGAGTCTTTGTTAGAAGTTTGATCGCCACCTTTTGTTGGATCTCCATGCGCGTCGTTAGCAGCCACTCCTTGTGTAGCGGTCCCGATGAACGATTCTGCGGACCACCCCCACTCCGAGGTCATCAAAATCATTCTAACCGGACTCAAGCACCTAATCGCCGTTATACGAAGGACTGGGACCTCACCGAACCCTGTGTAACACAACATTGACCATTCCAGAAGAGTTTTTGATCGGCTTCCAAGTATGCTTGCTGTTGCTGCCCCGAGTGGGCGCAAGTTCTCCGCCTCAGTCAGTTTGTAATTTTGGTGCTGATGTCACATTGGTTTGGTGTTCGCAAATATGTTCGGATTAGAGAATGGTAGGGTAGTGGTTCCGTTTTGCTTCGGAGTTCTCATCTAGAACCCTCGCAGCTGGCCATCCGTGCTCCGTCCTAAAGGTAGGACAAGCCAGTGAAATTTACATATATGCGGCCTTACGTAGTTCTGATCTCGGCAGACGGAATGTGGGCCCGGCAGCTCAGATCGTCTGGCCCAAGGGCCGATTGGTCATCTAGCCGGCTTTCGGCCCTCAGGCCTTCCAGCGTTTTGTTGGTGCCCGACTGACTAAGGCGGCAAATAAGCAAAAATTTGCCATTAGTGTCCGCTGTGCCAGTCAGAAACATCTGTTGTGGACAGCCGTCATGGCAACGTCGTGCCCCTCGTGACCATCCTAGAAAACTGTTTTCGACAGAATCGACAATAGTGGGAGTAAGTGCAAGCACGGCACCCCCACGCAGCGCAAATTATCAGCGCCCGCACAGAGGAAAACCAGACTACCCCTTCTGGAGCTCAAGCCAGCATTCCAAACATCCAGGGGGCCTTCATTACCTAACACATACGAAATACTCATTTCAACACAGAACCGTTTAGCTTCCAGGCCCTTTACTCGGGCCTGGCCTTCAATTTTTCCAAGTCGAAACCAGGATTCATCACCTCGTATAGCTTTGCCCCATTGCGGTGAACGCCCCATACGCTACAGCACAGTCAGTCCAAATATGCTCCTATGTGGTTTTCGATCAACTACGACAAGCTATGCTGTCCTTCGGTCCTCGTACCGTAGTTGTTCAAGACGCTTATTGCAGTAAGGGAACAGCTGTTTAGAGTCCACTATCGCCTTTCAGGTGTGAACGCACACCAATTCGACCGATTCACAGGAAGGCCAGACAGGTCGGTATGCATTCATTCCGCTCCAGTCCGATTATACGGCCTGCTGAGGAGACGCCATTAGGGACGACGTTTCGTTAGCTGCCAGCAGACCAGTCTAACACCACCCGTCAACTTTGACCGTCAAGGAGGATGAGGTCCACAACGTGCTCTACCGCAAGGTGAGCGCAGGGACAGTGGCTTCTGCGTGAACTAGGTCATCGTAATAACAGACTTGCGCAGCATCTGTCGCACCCTCTCCTCCACACCGACCTGCACCCGGATCCCAACTGAGTGGGAATGGCATAAAGGCCAAAATTTGTGATTTGTGTCTGCTGTCGCAGTCAGAAACACCTATTGATTCTGATGTTGTTTAAAACTATAGCTGGGTTCCTCTACTTTGTTGCTGTAAAAAGTATCTCCGACAGTCTGTCGTTACCGGACATGTCAACGGTGTGCCCACAGCATGATGGGGGCAGGGACGGTGAAGTGTGCGTGAAGTAGTTTTTAGTTATAGTAGACATCCGCCGTATCTACCTTACTCTCTCCTCCCACGTCCTACCAGGCCCGGTGTCAAGACAGAACCAATAAGGCTGGCGGTAGAGTCGGACGTATCGGCTGACAAGGCTAAACTATCCGTCTGCGTACACATTTGGTCTGCACGCAATAGATCAAGGTTTCACCAAAAAAACGAGTGGGCGACTCTGCTCCCAGCAGGGTTCGACTGCCATAGAGGCCGCACTCAGTAGTCATTTCAGCCTGATTCTCGTCAGTTGGCAGCCTTCCAAGCTACAGATTTTGAGGAACCGTGATAACTTCAAGCGCGTCACTTTGACTGTAATGAGGAAAACGGTGATGAGCTGCGGTGATTAAGTCCCCCTAGACGACCTCATTCTGCCATCTCTAATTTAGGTCTAAGTCCGTTGTCTGAGATGATCAGTCGTCTGATGCTTGGATCGAGTGCAATGACTGACACGACTAGGCCTCCCGTCTACGCATGTACACACGACCTACTCCCAACACAACATGCCAGACTTTCACACAAATGGTATCGGCTGTTCGGATCTCACATGCGTTAGAGTGCCGGAAATACCACGTGAAGAGGGAGTCAAATAGCCCAATTTCCACCTACGTGTGAGATGCCGAGCTCATGTCCGCCGTTTGCAATGTTGGACGTTCCCATGCGTGGTGCATGTATTGATGGGGTAATATGTGGTGACGTAGTTTAATCTGCGTTGGTTTTCTGGAGATTTGAATGGAGCCGCATGTGACCGAGTAGGCCCATGCGGTGAATGATTGTGGTGAGCAGTGCGGATAGTGGAGGCGGATTCGGCAACTGTATATCGGAGCCCCTGACACTGGGTTACAGATGTCAGTGCGATGGATTCGAAAGAGACCGACCACACCGATGAGTGAGGTGAAGGTACGACCATAATGAGGACATCTTAGAATCAACTCCACACTGCTGATTGTGAGGGGCGATGGTGACAAGGATGGTGGCTGATTGAGGATTGTGAGTGTTTCTCTCAGTGATGGGAGTGAGAGGAGTTTATATCCCGGTCCCCGTCTTCATGAGGGTTGTGGAAGGGATGACAGGATGGTGGCGGCAGACAGGGGCGGACATCAGGAGTGCTATTAGCCGTGGGAGTTGGCCCAGTGGTAACTATTCGGACGCTTGTGTAGGCAGCAGCTGGAGTTGTCGGGGTGTTATTACATTGCGTCCTACAATTCAGACGGGGTCTATCCGCGCACAGAATGTTTGATGAGAATGTTGACATGTTGGAGTTGATGTGGGAGACGTTTGAAACTTACAAGCCGCTATTTTGAATTTAGCAGCGGCTATCCGATTGACTCCATAAGTCGCTGCTGCGGCCTGCACTGCTGTCCCGCAGGCCGGTCGATCCTGAATGAGGTCCTCCAACGTCTCCGCAGTGATTTGAAGTTCCTTATGAGGGGTTTACAGGCTTTTCTTGTAGCGTCATTTTCGTCCTTCTTATCAGCGAACACCCGTGGCGACATCGCTTCAGAAGAGTCGTTTGGGTAGACGCTGGGTATCTATCCACATGAGATGGTCGCTCCAGAGCGGTCGAAGTTGCCTCAGCATGATGTGGATGCCGAGGCTTCCGGTCCGTCTGGAGACTTCCGTGTCGGGGATCCCGTATAGTCATCCCAAATTCATCTTTCTTCGGAGGCCGTTTAAGTTGAATTGGTTGACTTCCCTTCCCTGTCTCTCGTAGGCTGTCCGTGTCTTCCTTTATACAACAGCGTCGACAAGATGAGAGCTCTGTGCGTCTTGAGTTCGGTGTTGAGGTGGAGACCCTGGCAACTCCACACTGCGTCCTGCAGCCGACCGAAGGTATGACTGGCTTTGGCGCTTCGGTGGGCCACTTTATCGTCGATTAGGATGCTGCTTGAACGTGCTGCCTAAGCAGACAACCTTGTACACTGAGGCGTATCGGATGCCGATGCTTCCTTGCACGACTGCTGCTGCTGTGACACTGAGCGCGTAGTCGTCCACGAAGACGAGCTCATGAACAGTGGCTATTGAAGTCTGCGTAGATGCCTTCATTTGTCGGGTGCTGACAAACTGGCCTTCGACCCTGTAGTCGACGTTGACTCCTGACAGCTCCTCATGATAGACGTTCGCCAGCATAACGCAGAACAGAAGGTTAAGGAGAATGAGCACGGATACACAGCCCTGGTCCATTCTACTAGCCACTTCGGATGTTTCCAAGAGTGCTCCATTGTCGATAGTTTGAGCTATAATTCCGTCGTGGAGTTGGCGTATCATGTTTGTGAAGCGCATCGGACATCCGAATTTCAACATAAGCCTCCAGAGTCCGCCGCCATTCTCTGTATCGTAGGCCATGACCAGGTTTGCGATTTCAGTGTAGAGACTCGTCTGCATTTCCTAGCCTTTTTCTTGTGGTTTGCTGGTTGTGAAGATCATGTCGATGATTCCGCGGTGTCTTTGGAAGCCAGACTAATTTTCCAGAAGAAGTCTATGTCCCGGATAGCCGTTGAGACTACTTAGGAGGATGCGAGCGAAGATCTTCCAGCAGTGATGAACACCGAGATTCCTCCGTGACTATCACAGAGTTTCCGGTCCCCTTTCCGCTTGTAGAGATAGACGATTGTCGTGTTCTTGAAATACCGAGGAACTTGTCCCTGCTGCCACATATCCTGGAAGAGCGATGTGAATCTGTCCATGAACGGAGGATAGCCTTGCTCGTTGAGTTTGGATCCCGGTGCTATCTCGCTGCCGAGTTGTTGCACAGTTCTAACAGTTTCTGGGACAGAAGGCGGGAGATGCAGTCTGTTAGTGGCAGCGTTATAGATTGTGGACGGTCAACGGAGGACGTTTTTGAAGTGTTTCGTCCAAAAACGTAGATGCAGTGTGTGCAGCGTCGAAACTGAGAAGCAGCGTAGTTCTATTGACGCGGGTGCCGTAGACTGCCTTGTTGGAGTCAAAGAAAATCCAGTAATGACGACTTACAAGGCTATTATAGCGTCCTTTGTCCTGGTTTATGATACTCCTCGCTGCTGATATCACCGTTCTCCATGATGAGGACTAAAACATCACCAGCATAAAAAACTCCAAAACCTTGCTCGACAGTCTTTGAACAGTAGTTGTCATATTTTTTAAAGAAAAGTCTCCGTGATGAAACTAGCGAGCCAATATCTAATCGGAGGGCCTCTCTTCCGTTCAGCTGCGTTCCCGTCAATCGTACCACGTGCTTAAAGACAAAACTTGCGTAACCATGTAAAATGGATGTCATTGAGTGCTTTGTTTGTTACACCATTTTTGTTCCTCAGTAAACGAAATGTGATGTTAAGTGACGTAATAACCTCGTCAGTGATGGTCTGTAGCTCTTTACCTTCCTACAGAAACCTCACGATCCAACAGGCATGTGCATAGAAGTATGGGATCCGTAGGTACAAGTCTCGAAGCAGCCGTCTAGCGAAATTGACTGTAGGCATGTACTAGGGCTCCTTAAGTCAGCATTTGTCCCTTCAAAGCGCTGCTCTGCAGATGGAGTTAACCAAAACGGAGGGTCGGGTTGGCTCACGGGCTGCGTTCTATCGGGCAGCACAGAGACCGCGTGAATCCACACTTGCTGCCGTATATGCGTGCGGTGGCACGTCTTATAATCCGCTTAAGCCACCGTACTGAATCCAACATGTTGCTGGTTTACAAGCCCGGGCAGTCGACTGTGGCGTGGGAGAGAGAAGAGAAAGGGATGTCGACATTGGGAAGGCCAGCTCCGTGGTACATTAACACCTTCCTCATCACGATAAATCTGACGCGCCAAAAGTCATGGCTTGGAAGGATGCCACCTGGCGAGCTAACCCGGTGATTCTCAGGACTGAGGGCCTGACAGCAGTGGTTTCTTACCAACGTAACCATCATGGAAACCCGGCGTATGCGAAATCCTAGTGTCTGGTACACGTTGATTGAGAAGAAGGTCATGTGGAACACGCATGGTCCGGCTGTTTAGATTTTATAGCCGCTGCGTCCGCCTCTACCTCTTGACATTGTCTTGCTTCTAGAATCAAGCGGGTGATGGAGGGTGGTGTGCGTTTGACGCTGTGAAAGTATGATTCACTCCAAACTGCCTCACGCGCAAGTCACTTTTACCGGGTCAGTTTCGTGTGGCAGGCGGTTTTTGTCGCCATCCACGAAGGTGGGATTGTCAAAATGTCGTTAGCTAACAAAAAAACCTCGTGGCAATGTCTACGTGTGGGTTAAACTGAACTATGTTTACTTCGCTTGGGTAAACTCTACAAATTGGACCTTAATGATTTCGAAAATCAACTTTAAGCATCCCATCAGGTAACAAACCTGGTTTTCAGAAGCATAAGCCAAGATGTGTAATAACCAGATAGTAAAAATACATCTGTTACGAATAACACTGGTATTTTACGAGAATAAAAACCGTCAACGTCGCAATATGTGACCCCATCCAGAATGCAGAGGGTAGGTCATCGTGCCTTACGGAACCGGTGGAAGTAAGGGTTATATGGGTGGGGCTAACGGATGCGAAGGAGCACAGTGAAAATGGATTAAGTTCTGGAAGAATGTTCTAATTTCATGAATAGGTTCAAATAGATCCGTGCATGACCCTGAAAGCGACCCGGAAAATTGAATGCAGGCGAAATTTAACACAAAAGATCGAAGGAGGCTAAATATAGCGCCTGCACAATAAGACGCCAATTTCAGAGATAACGGCAGCGAAATAGCCAAAAGAAACCCAAGGGCGAGTGACATTGGTGAACCCCACAAGAGTAAAGTGAGAACGTTGACCCAACGGCACGACATAATAATACAGAACAGCGGAACACAGGGAAGCCACCAAGGTGGCCAGCAAAGGTAAAGTATACTAAATTAGCGCGTATACCAACCGACGAATAAGCTGGATGTGATATCTAAGCGGAAATCTATGTTATCTCGAAGAAGGGAGTCAGTTTACTCAAATTAAACATTAATACTTTCGTGAGAATCAGTGGGCAGTAATAAGTAATATGCAAAGTTGGGTCGCATATCGCGTCCGTTCCTGAAAACCTTTGCCAGGCAGGTCCGAGTGATCGGCACAAAACTGTTCACTCCATAGAGAGCTAATTCCAATTATTTTGTTAACAATGAGGGAACTATTTCCGGGAATGTGTTCGCCTATCAATCTTCGGGACACGCTCCTCCTGGTGAAAATACTGATGAGGAATTATAACTTTAGTCAGGATACCGTTGACGAAATCGCAGTATTGAAGTTCAGGGAGGTGGCAACGAAAAATCCTGAAAAGGCTCTACCATGTGTGCGTCATGTACGTTTGTCTTCTACTGTTTTCGACACCGGGATCTAAAGTGAATCTGTAACGTCAGACGAGTTAGATCACTTTCCTAGCGATGGTGTCCAATTCTCCTAAGTTGTCAAGACCCCCAACGACTAACAATCTCGGTTTCTACCGTACTTGGCACTGCGTTTGTCTTACTTTGTTTGCCATTTTTGCCCTATATTCGCTTATCATCGGCGATACAAACAACAGCGCCTTCTATCATTTGCTGATCTGTTTTACGTCTTCCTCGTTGGTTTCCATTGCCAAAGTGAAATAGAATACTTGTAAGTCTGTTTGAGAACCAGCAAGTGAACTGCCTCGATTTTGTGTTCACTTGTTCGCCTGAAAACATCGACGTCGTGAACCGCGTCCTCTCAGTGGGTCAGAGTGACCATATGGATCTTACTTAGGAATACACCTTATTCTTTCTGTCAGCCCAACCGCTTGACTCCCGACCCAATATTTGGCGTGGCAATTACGAACATATAGAAAATAATCTTATTGTTATTGACTGGGTATCTGAACTCTCCAGGGATATCGAGGAGGTTTGGCGTCAGTTCAGAGAGATAGCCCACAATCCCATCTCCAAACACTGCTAATCATGCGACGAAGACAAACAGATCCCGCTGGTTGATTCCATATTTAAAGAAGGAAGCTAAAAATAAGAGGAAACTATGGAGAAGATCCCTCATTGATCGATCGCCTGAATCCCTCAACAGTTAAAAGTTACAGGAAAACCGCGACAAAATTCCCATCACCATGGATCGTCAAGTCTTCGAAAAGGATCTTTTGAACCGTGCCTTATTTAAGCCCGAGGTCTTTTACGGTTACATAAGGCAGAGCACGTGGAAAAGAATCATATAAAACTGCGTCAGATGGCCGCGGGCGTGGCAATCTCGGAAGACAAGGATAAGGCTGAACATCTCTCCTAGTTCTTCAGCTCCACCAGGACAAGAGAACCCGATTAATTCCCATCCACCTGTGAAGACGAGGAAACGCGTACTATTTAGGCGATCCACTTCACCGAAGCGGTCTTTCAGGGAGAGTTCCGGAACTTGAAATAATCGACCTCCTCAGGCCTTGATGCAATACCGCCCAGACTGTTGGAGGGGCTAACTTCTGAAATGGCCAAACCACTAGCCTTGCTCTTCCAGGCTTCATTTGATATGGGGTGCCCACACTGTAGTTGGAAGTCCGCAATCATTACTTTGTTAATTAAGAGTGGAAGACGAACGTCTGCTAGTAATTACAGGCCAGCGAGTTTTGATTCCAGTTGTTGCACAATCATGGAGAAAACCACAAAGTAAGTGTTGATGTAGTTCCTAGAGCAGAATCATCTCCTCTCAAATGCCCAGCGCGGCCTACGTAGTGGTAGTTCCTGTCTTATGAATCCGCTCTTTTCACTCAGACACCAGACCAAGGCATGAAACGAAGCTTATATGACGCACGCAATCTACATTGCCCTCAAAAAGGCCTTCGACAGCGCTTCACACCAAAGTCTTCTGCACAAACTGATCGGCGTAGGAGTTCGGGAACTCCTCCCTGTATGGATCCGGAATTTTTTGACTGGATGGTCCTAGAGAGTGCAAGTCGGACGCCAGTAGTCCTCAGAGGTAACCGCGGTGAATAATGTCCCACGGGGCCCAGTTTAAGGACCCAAGCTATACTTTGATTTTGTCAAAGATTGCGCCAGAGACCTAGGCTGTGATGTCACCCTGTTCGCTGAGGCTATAAAATTTTTGAGCTGTTCACAACGCGGCAGACGAAGATCACTTGCAAATAAACTTAAAAGGCTCGGGTCTGGTCGAAGCGTTGGCTAATGCCCTTCAATGTAGCTTAATGCAATTTTTTAAACTGGACAGTTTCAGAGCATCCAGCACCAGGAGTAACTTTCTAAACGGTTCACCACCGCAACAATTTGACAGTCAGAAGTACTTGGGTGTGCCTATTACGGCCTCATTCAAGCCAACACTGGACTGCGCGAATGCGGCTCCGTCGGCCATGTCTACACTGCAACTCATTAGGCGAACCTTTATGAAATTTGACAAAGACTACTTTTTTCAAAGTGTTTGGCAC